CAGGGAGCCAAGTGACCGGACAGACAAGGAACATGATTGCAGAGACCAGAGAAAACAAAGGAGTGCAGGGACTTGCAGGTTTGGGTTTGAGGCCACCTTTATTTCTGACACTACAGGATCATAGAAACCTACCTCCTTATAAGGTCAGATGCCTCCTTGAAGGAAAACAGTGGGTTGGAGGAAATATGAAAGTCTGAACATTTACCAGATATGACTAAGTTTTTAGAAAAAGAATAGACAAAAAGATGATGAGATAGCACTAATAGGCACTTTGTTCATTCATTCAATAAACAGCCTTTGAATGTCTCTTATATACCATGCACTAGGAATACAACAGACACTAATCCCTGTCTTCCTATAGTTTACATTCCAGTGACAGTAGTGCCAAAGTGAAGCTATAGAAAAAAAGAAAAGAGCTTAATTAGAAAAACCAGAGATAGTACAATTTATTTTCACATTTGAATAGCCGTGAGTTATATTTTTAAACCCACAACAATGGGGATGAAAAGTATTCTGGTGGTATGCATAGCCTCATTGTGGTTAAGAAAAGCTAAAAATAACTACAGAGCTTATTCTTGTTTGGACACCAAGTTTAAATAACTTGACATGTTATCACAGGGTCAGTCATAGAGTCACAAAAATTTGGAGCTGGAAAGGATCTTCAAGGTCATGAGGCCGACTTTTTTTAAATATATATATTATTTAAAAAAAAATTTATTTATTTGACAGAGAGAGAGAGCACAAGCAGGGGGAGCAGCAGGCAGAGGGAGAGGGAGAAGCAGGCTCCCTGCTGAGCAGGAAGCCTGACCCCAGGACCCTGACCTGAGCCATAGGCAGACACTTAACCGACTGAGCCCCCCAGGCGCCCCATGAGGCCCAACTTCTTAGTTTGATTGCTAAGGAAACAGACATGCTGGGAGTTGAGAAAATCGCCACTAGAGCTGGGATGTAAATATATGTGCCTTGACATCAGTCCAGGGCTCTTTAAATAGAACACTGCTTCCACTTGAATCTTAGGAGAACATATTCATTGATTATTTCACTTTGATATCAGGAGGTCCTCTCTAGGGCTGGCTCTTATAAGTATTGGGAACACGATGGGCAATGCAATGATAGTTCAGTAGGGTAGAGGATTAGGAGAATAGATACTCATTAGAGTGGTTAGTTAATCTTTCTATTGCTCCACAGAATGTGAAATACAGCCCAGAAAGAACCCAAGCAACCTCAGTGGCAGAGTCCCCACCAAGGTGACAACCTACTCAGTAAGGGTAAAACCTTAGGTTCAAGAATGAGACATCTGAATTCTAATCCCAGCTGTACCACCTATGAACTAGCTTTGCAATCAGTTGTGAAACATGTAGCAGGAAATTTGTTATAAAATATGGATGAAATGCTGAAGGTTACAAATGACTTACCTTGAAAGGATACATTAGATTTAGAGTTATCTCTATGATGCCAGTCTTGCGCACTTATACACAATAGTTTTTTTGTCTAGTGGTAAAGGCGCAGAGTTCTGGTTGGTACATTAGGAATAGTTTACACCCTTCTATTTATCTCATGGTAGAGTTGACCAAGTGGTGTTCCACTTTACTGATGCAGTATTTACACATCAAATGAAAATTATGGCAGTGCCTGCATTTTACTTTTCTTGGTTTTATCAAAATTTAGGCACCTTTCTGGAAGAGTGTCATATACACATTTTATCTTTCATGTATAGTGTGTCAAAAAAATAAGATTGAGAACTACTGAACTGAAGATCAGGTATATCACACACAGGACTAGCACTAAACTTCTCCACTTAATCTAAAACTCACTTAAATACATAACTTGTGACATTGTGTTTAATTAAACTGTGTGGAAAAAAAAAATACACTTTGCCTCAGGCTGATATTTGGCCAGACTTAAGAGGTAAAATGATAACCTATAGATAAATTCATAATCAGTTCTTGGGTTGTCATTAATATTACATGATTTTTCTACCACTGCATGCTTTTTGGCACTTACATATAACAAGCAGAGCCATAGAACAGAGTAGAACAATGGAAAAAAACAAAATAAGAGAAGGTAAAGCTTACCTATTTTCCAAGATGCTTGAAACAAAATACCATGACACACTTAGTATTCACTTGATTGGGAAAGTCATGGAGCTGATCTTTGTTTTTTGTCATACACCATGACTTATGTTGGATACATTGATGTGTTTCACCTGAACATTTTAACAAATTAATTTAAGGAATATTTATTAAGCACCTGTTTTGACAGTCTCTAACAGTGCTGGGTGGGGGAAGGAGTGTGTGTGTGTGTGTGTGTGTGAGAGAGAGAGAGAGAGAGAGAGAGAAACCACGTGTGAGAGCAGGGAGTGCTCCTGAAAGTGTTAGGCAAGGTCATACTCAAAGAGAGTTTACCATAATAGGAAAAATATAAACACCATTTCTGATTCCTACTCCCAGGAAAAAAACTATTCATAATAAATTGTATTTAGTTTATTTTATAGGAGAGTTGGCCTGGTTATTTATACAATAAATTTTAGCATTTTACACAGTACAATTGTGTTAATTTAAGGAATATATTTTTGTTATTTAAGCAACAATAGTGGAGTCCTTTTATCTGATTGAATACCACATTAAAGTTGAATAACTTAATAAAGCAAACTTTTCTTCCCAATGTTAAATTTAAATGCTCATTGATAAAAAGTTTACAAAAACATTTAAGAAATACATATTTTTCTTTGTGCCAGGTGAATATTTAACTTCCTGGTATTTTCTTATGGCTTTTCAGGTTCTAAGATTGGGTTTAAATATGATGCTTGATATATATGGGAATCTAAGCTTTCTACCTTAAATACTAAAGAGCAAAAGGAATATAAACTTAATGCAAAGCAAAAATATTATTTTCCTATAATTAATTTAACAACTTTCAGATTCTGCAGTTGATAATCAAGCCTTTGAGCCTCAAGTTAGATTTTATATTTGGCTTGTCATTGGAGCTGTACCTTGGCTAGAAGTTTACTAGTATTTGTGTTGTGTTCCTTCTATCCTGTAAGTGAAGAAATCCTCTCACCTTTCTAATTCAAAAGTCAACAAAATAAAAGTTAATTTTTAAAAGTTGATGAGCTTATTATTCTCTTGGGTTGTCCCTCAGGAATATTTACGATAAATTAATAGTAATATAGATAAACCATGAGTTTACTCCACCCATAAGTTGATCCATCAGTTGACTGCCACCCATAAATGCAAAAATCCTTCCAGAAGACCCGTGCAACATGTTATTTCTCCCATCCAAGTACTAACCAGGCCCGACCCTGCTTAGCTTCCGAGATCAGACGAGATCTGGCGCGTTCAGGGTGGTATGGCCGTAGACCAGCATGTTGTTTCTTATGTACCTTCTTATACAAAGAAAGCCAAAGCATATGGTTATAATAATGCATTTATTCCAAAGGTCTGCATATCAGTTTGCATATAAATGGTCTCCAGATTTAACTGCAGTATTGCCCACTCATGTCAATTTATGATTGGATGCTTAGTGATGGTGAAGAGAACACTGATTTAGATGTCATTAAATGAATATATAATATTTACAGAGATACATACAATATAAAATTATCTTTTTATTTATGACTTTTTACTTACAGCTTTACATAATAAATGTGTATTTCTGGAATATTAGGCATCATAACTTCTATGCTAGTTCCTTAGCAAGAAGCAAATTAATCCTATTTAGAAATAGCACGATGGTACCATTAAAGTTGGAAAAGAACATAGAATTCAATGAATGTCATAACCTCATTTTATAAATACAAAAACTGGGGCTCAGATAGGTCAAGAATTTTTCCAACAATGGCCCAGCATTTTCATGATAGAACTAGGATTAGAACCCACTTATTATTTTTAGTTCAATCCTGTCTCAGAATGATGTCATTAGAAAAATGAAAAAAAAAAAAGTATGGATTAGAACTGTGCTTGATATAATCAGTGATTTCTTTGTAATTCTCTTCTTCTTTGTCTTTCCTCTGAGAGGGAAATAAAAATGTACTCTTGCTCCTGTGGAAGTATTTGGAGAGTGCTAAGAAATACAGATTGCAACCATATAGGTCATATCCTCCTCTGTGTCATTTGACCCTTATTTGATCATTCAACTAAAGGCATGAGTGTTTCTCAATTTCCCCTGCCTTTATCACACGTATATTTTCAAAACATTTTAATCATGCTTTGAGGTGGTTTATTTTATTACATACCAAACTTCTGGCCTGGAATCTCATGACACTATTGATTGAGTAGGAATTTTGTTAGTGATTCAGATATAGGAATGTCTGTCTCCAAAATACATTATATTAAAATGTGAGGGTTCATCTTATCTGTAACTAGAACTAGAGTTCCTGCAGTGTGAGTCTAAGTCTTCCAAGTAAAACAGTTTTTAATGTCATTTATTTTCAACTGTTTACAACTTCCCTCTAATACCTACATTTCTATCTTTTTATTTTTGAAATTCAAATTTGATCATATAGTTCCAAGGGAGTTTTGGGGACTTGAAAAAAAAAAGTGTGTATATGTGTTTTCATATCTTTTTTGCAGTGTCTCCACTTAGTTGGAAAGTCACTCTGGGTACAGACATCTGGGCACAATGTCGCTGATAGAATTGAGCAATTTTTGTTTTTCTAACTTTTGTAGCTCCGGCCAGCTTCACATGGGCTTCTATCAGTTGAAATGATATCTTTGACTTTAGCCAAGTGTAGGTTACTGGGTTATGAGTGCCAAAAATCATGAGTGGTCTCCACACTCCATCCAGTGTGGATAAAAGCAATATTATAAAATAATTATAATCTTTTGAAGCAGAGCCAGCCATGCAGCCTGAGCCCATCTTCCTTCATTAATTTGTATACAGTTCCTATTTTAACGGAACAAACTTTCAGAGGGTACTCACATGGGACTGCTGAACCAGCTGTACAACTTTTATTTTGAAGAAAAAAGTTGAGCCTCAGAACAGGCTGTTTTAAAGACAGGGAGGGACTTAGCTTTTCGGAGCTTGACCAGCATGTAGAAGGAGTGCTCTCATGGCTCCAAGAGCTCAGGGAGCTCCTACCTGGGTGCCACTAGGGTAGGAAGTTTTCTGTTTGTTTTGTTCTGTTTCCGAGGGTCCTGTGCACTTCTCTTGCCTGGATCACCGTGACTGGTGGTGGTTTCTGCACACCCTGCTCTGTGGGGGAGTGCCCCAACGTGCCTGTCTTATGTGGCCTCTATGGACACACTGCTTAGCTGGCAGAGAGCAGGGAAGTTTTCTCCCAGCACCCAAAAAGAGAAAGAGGAAAGTACTTTTTCCTTCTGGGCTCCTTGCAGCACAATAGACCAGGATAAGCTTCCACATTCTCTCCCTGGATTTCTGGAGTGGTTTCCAGGAAGAAGTTAAACTTTCACCTTTAAATGGATGACCATGTCACAATCAGGAAGAAACATCTCCAAAGACCCATCTTTAGGTAAGTAATGCTACATCCCAGTTGGCTCCAGGGCTATCAGGAAAAATAATTTCTTTCCCTTATCCTTAACTTGGAAATTCTGGCACTAAGCTCCAGCAAAGCAATAGAGTGTGTCTAAAGTTTAACTTCATGCATACCTGAGGAGTCCTTTTATTTTCTGTTTTCTGAAGCTGTGCACAAGCTCTTATCAACTCCTCAAAATATATTTTAAAAGCAAATTAGCTCTTCAGGCACATGAATGACATAGCGTTGGAAAAACTTCTAAAACATTATGCAATCCCTCGCTGTTTCCAATGGTTGCACAGCCCTCTAAATTGGAAATACTGTGCTTGGTTATTTCAACTGATTACACTCAGAGATAGTGTTTCAGCACAGCAAATGCTATACCTTTTTGCAGTAGTGTGTGGGAAGACAAATGTGAATTTGATGGCTATATACTAAGGTATATATATTTACAGCTAGTTCAGGAGTATCTTCCTGCAGTTTAGGAAACAAAAGGACAACAGGAAAAATTTTACATTGTGGTGAAATCTGTGGCCCGAAAAAATGTAGATACAGTATAATAGATTGAGTTAAGGTTTTATTTTTTGGGGGGGGGGCTCACTCTTTCTCTTGAGAACAGGAATTTTTTCATTGACTCTTTAACCCTTGATTCTTTAGTTACTTATGTACTTTAGAATTCAGAATTAGGAATTTAGACCTTTAAAGAGGCTAGAAAATCAACACAGTTTCTGCCTTTTAAGACAGAAGATCTTAAAAAAAGAAGCTAATTATATATTAATTTTGTGCTTCCCCGCAAATAATATACTAAACAAAGCGGAGATACTACATGCTAGCAAAACTAGACATTAAAGTCAAGTTGCAGTCACTGGTTGTTGATTTAGAATTAACTATAGGATAATAGAAGTTTATGGATGGAATTCCTGGCATTCTGTGGTTGTCACATAATGAATAAGAGTGGGCCTCAAGGCATATGTTTTATGTATTGATTAAGCCTTGTTACAGTATTATTAGTAGCAACAATATACTTTTGTAATGCTTAGAACAAAATGCTAGCTCAAATCTGTTTTACAGCCTTCTTAAAAATAAATCATATTGGGACGCCTGGGTGGATCATTCGGGTAAGCGTCTGCCTTTGGCTCAGGTCAAGATCCCAGGGTCCTGGGATTGGGCTCTGCCTGCTCAGCGGGGAGCCTACTTGTACCTCTCCCTCTGTCCCCCCCCCATCACTGCCACCCCACTTGTGCTCTCTCTCTCAAATAAATAAATCTTTAAAAAAATCATATTTAAATCTATACATGTGGATTTAATATCATAATCTGTGTCTATATTTTATGCAGTGTCAGCAATAAATAACCAAAAATCCAAAATGACCCCCGAATGTGTATTCACCTGCCATAATTCCTATGTAATTACTTTCCGTTTTCTCCCAAGTGCATGTGTGACTTCAAAAAGATATGACAGTGGCACAGATGATTCCAAACTGAACCCCAGTGAGGCACCATTAGAAGAGGGAACCTGTGGAAATTCAAGAAGCCAAGATTGTGTCGGATGAAATCAGATCCACTTGGCCAGTATCTTTAGTATGTTACCCCATGGGGAAGCTGTTGGCGATTGAAGCAAGTGGTCCTTCTCCACTGGTTTATGGCGAATCCATATCCCGTCCTGATGAATTGTATGCTAAGGTGCCACTCACAGGGAAATTGCAACTCATCCATGCTTCTGTTCTTTTTCATATAAAGTAATTGAGATTCTTTGCCCAAATAATTAGAATACAATTTGGTAAATTCAAATGATTTACTTCATGATCCTGGTGACCTAGAAGAGAAAACATAGCTGCCAAAGAGGACATACTTTCACTCAGGCAACTGTTTCAAGCAAGTGTACAAATGGTCCCTGACTGAAAACAGGTTAAGACCAGATGTGGGGTTGGGATTAATGGGTCAGTTGGCACATTGATAGATGGCTTTGCTTTTATCAGGATATGATTGTTGTGAGGGAAAAGGGAGGTAGAGAGTATCTTAATAAAGCATTCAAATGACTAGACATAATTCCTCAGAGAAAGTGTTGGGCTATATTTCGGTAAAACACAGCATTGACTTTCTGATAGCTAGTTGTACTTTTGGGCATGTTGGGAAGTGCTTTAAGATTGCTTTTGGCATCTTATGCCCTTATCCGATGCCCCACTTCATCTTCTTTTTTGGTTTCCTTTCTCTGGTTCCTTGTCTTCTTGGGCTATTACTGGATTGTCCACCTCTCACACTGAGACACCTTTCTCAAGCCTGCCTTTCTGTTCAGAGACCCATATACCAGACTTTCCTTCTCAGTATGTGCTTGTTCACACCCTACTTCCTAAGGGATTTGCATACTCAATCTACTTGGTAAAAAATCAGTGCTAGACTGTTTTGTATGTGTTAGTCACAAGTTTAACAGAAATTTTGTGAAAATAATATTTTGACTGTTTATAAATAATTCACTTAAAATTTTAGTCATTAAGAGAGGCTCAGTCTGGGATTTGGGGGGAAATATCTGACATACTGACACCATTCAAGTTTTTACATACAGACTACTTTCTCCTGCAACTGAACCAAGAGCTTTAATTCAATTCACCTGGCCTCTCTGATTGATTATAGATGTCCAGAATCTGGACTACTGCACTGGGGCGGTCTGACATGATAAAGAAAAACAAACTGTGTCTGCCTTCACATGACATATCATCTAGTATATACCTAGATAACTATGGCACAGACAGATGATGGGTGCCAAAGAGGAGGTGACAATGTCCTGGGAAATTATAATGAGACAGATTTCAATGATGACTAATTCTGACACCTACGTGAATTGAGAGAGATAAGCCAGATTTTTTTAATTTTTGAAACTGAATAGACATCGATTTTTAATTAGCATAATCTCCCTACATTTCAGACAAGAAAAGTCACCCATCAAGTATAAAAAGTTAGTTGAGAGGCTTTAGAGTAGACAGTGGATGTTGAAATTCCATGGCTGGGTATGATATCAGGAAGAATCTGAGAAATCTTACATATTCTTTAGATTCTGCCTCTAAGAATGTCTGTGTCTCCTACAATGGTGATTCCTGAATCATCTCACATAGGTTAGCAAATCTATGTTTTAAAAGTCTTTTGTGGAATTTTTAGGTATATATTTTCACACCAGGTCTGTGAGGAAAGGAAAAGGCAAAGGTTTTTTGTTTTTGTTTTTGTTTTTATGGCCAAGGTGGGAGTTTCTATGATCTCTATTATGCATGTCAGGTGGAACTTGGGATCAGTGAGATTGACTATTCAGCCCTGAGAATATAGAAATGGTGCATCACAAACCTACTTTGAGGTTTTTGCCTGTAGACATTCCTGCAGCTCAGAATTGTATATAAAAATGATGATTCTCCCTTTACTCAAGAGAAATTCTTTAGGTTTTATAATTTTCCAGGAAGGAAACACTATCACAAAAGGTATATTAATGTGTTTTAAATCAACAACACTAAGTTTGGGGACACCTGGGTGGCTCAGTCGGTTAAGCGTCTGCCTTTGGCTCAGGTCATGAGGTCCTGGGATCGAGTCCCATATCGGGCTCCTTGCTCAAAGGGGAGCCTGCTTCTCCCTCTCCCTGCTATTCCCCCGCTTGTGCTCTCTCTCTCTCTGACAAATAAATAATAAATCTTAAAAAAGAAACACTAAGTTTGTCCCTCAGCACATAGAAAATAAAATTACATAGAACCTTAAAATCCAAGATGTGAATAAACACTTGACATGAAAGACCTCCCCCCAAAAAAGAAACAGTTTTTTAGGCTTTTAAAAACCTCTTTTTCGAGGCGCCTGGGTGGCTCAGTCATTAAGTGTCTGCCTTCGGCTCAGGTCATGATCTTGGGGTCCTGGGATCGAGCCCCGCGTCGGGCTCTCTGCTCAGCGGAGAGCCTGCTTCTCCCTCTCCCACTCCCCTTGCTTGTGTTCCCTCTCTCGCTGTGTCTCTCTCGGTCAAATAAATAAAAATCTTTAAAATAAATAAATAAATAAATAAATACCTCTTTTTCTGTGTTACCACAGAGTTTTATCTCTGGTAATCATAATTGATCTCTGTATAAATAGATTCTTCAATTTATAATCCATTTCAAATGAATTACCTTTATATAACTTCAGTAAGACAGTTGCTGAAGACACTTCCATCTTATTGCATATTCATATTGCTTAACAAACTTTCTATATTCCCATGGGATAAATAAACATTCAACTTTGATGTCAAGAAAAATCTGTTTCTCCTAATAAAAGTACATCAGTGGAAATAATTCTTATCTGAATTTCATTGCCATGAAGTTTAAGTCTGGGTTTCTGTTATTATCAACTCTTCCTATTTGATTTGATATTTTATCAAATTCTATTATATGTGCATTGTTTTCCATTTGTTGCTTCAAATTCTTTCTAGGAGTAGGTAAGGAAAAAAACTAAAAAAATAAATTGAAACTTTCCTCACATGTTAAGCCTTATTTTGTGTTCTTTGACGCCAGCAGCCTGTTGAACCTCTTCTGTGTTCAAAATGGATAAGTTATTTTTGTGGTGGCTTTCCATTAGAAGTAACACTAAAAAGCCACAAAAGAAATCATGCAAATAGTTGTTCATCAGCCGTAGATTTGAGAACTGGTCTATGCATCCAGGATCTGAGACATTAAAGTGCAAGTCAGATTGCTGCCAGGACCTCAGACTAATGAAAATCATGTTGAGATCTTCACAGCATTTAGAACATGCTGTTTCTTCTCTTTATGCCTTTTCAAAAGTCTTATTTTTACAAGTATCTGTTAGCAGAGGAATTCTGAGTGTGCTTTTGGCAGGCATATTCTCTTCACATGGAGATGGAGAAAGCAGGAGGATGAAATAAGAAAGCACAGGAAAAGACAGACAGATCCTAATTTTCTTTGTGGACCTAATGGGCATGGTTAGTAACCTATTGCTGCATCTGATTTCTAATTTCAAAGGTGTGATCTTTCAAGGGTG